ATGTACTAAAATATGTTTTCAGTGATTTTTTTTATATTTTACTTATTATATCAAAAAAAATTTATGACTGTTTTTTCGGTATCTAAAACTTTTGTAAAATTATTGACATGAAAATTGATTATTTACACATAAATTTTTTCCAAATTTATAGTAGTATTGTATATCTTTTAATTTTATCATCAACATTAAGAATAATAATCATACTTTCTTCTAAATTTTTATATTTAATAACATGTATCATTTTTTTCTAAATACTATATTGTGATATTAATATTCATTTTATTGTGATAACCAAATATATAAGTCATAATCTCAAATTAATGCATTCATTTTTGCAATTGAATTCAATTAATTTGTTTAATCTCTTATAATATTTTAAAGATTTTTTTAATCAAATTTCTGAGAGACTGCCACGTAGCCTCTATATGCTTGAGATCTGTCCTTTTTTCAACCTTCTGCATTAAAGACGAAAACTTATTGTACCTTAGAGAAAAAATGTCATAAACTTAATACGTTAAAGGTTCAATTTTAAAAATTATTATTGTAATAAATACTTCTTATTCATTCCCTCACTCTTCTAAAATGAATGACGGCTAGGGATTCTACTAAAGTAACGCATTCCCTCTAAGTCTTTTGTTTCTTAGGGTTTCTACACATTTCCTTTTTATTGATTTGTTTTAGTTCAAATGGATTTGTGAATCTCTTCATTTTGTTTTTAATAAAACTTTTCCATTAGTTTTGCTGAAAATTACACAGAATCCCCTCAGGATTACAGCTCTCAAATCACCAGATCAATATCAAATTGATTTGCATCCAAAAAATGAAGAAATGGTTAACGTCAAGCAATCCATCTTCCTAAAAACATAACGACTTAAAAGAGTGAGAACCAAGTTGTTAGTAATGTGGTTGTGGATGGAGTGTTCAGCATACGACGTGAAAGAAGATCTAGACGACAACGGACTGTTTGCTTGATTCCTTTGATTATGACCTTTGCTGGAGTTGATGTAGAAGAATGACGTCTCACATTGCGCTCCCTCCAAATCTCGTATAAGGAGGCTTGGAATGCTAACTTGAGGATGAGATTGGTGTTGGCATCTCTTGTTGGAGAAAATAACCAAAGAAGACATTGATCGAAATCTATTGGTGGAGATAGATTTGCCGCCGAGTAAAAAGCATACCAAATTTCTTTGTTGAAAGGGCAGTTGAAGAAAATATGTTGCCGAGTTTCATCTTCCTCATCACACAAAAGGCAACGAGGAGAAACCGATAAACCCCAACTTCTGAGCTTGTCTCTTGTCTGCATTCTATTCTGCGCGGACACCCAACACAAAAATGAGTGCTTTGGGATTCTCCCTTTGAACCAAACTGATTTAAACTATGGAACAGTTTGACCAATAGGGTGAAGAGCTTTTCATATTTCTGAGGCTGAGAAATGTTTGGCAATGGTTTCAGGACCAATTTTCCATTTGTAGCAGTCATCGGACTCTGATTGAGCAATGGATGAAGGCGATGGAAGGCGTTGACGAAGCAACGCGGCCGATGTGGTATCTCTTCATTTTTTATTCTTTACTCTTTCTTACATTGGTTTAAAACTCTCCCATGATTTTTGTTTTTTTTTTGGGATGAAAGAATCTTTCTTATTTTTTCCGACAATGGATCTAAATCTTTGTTTGAAAGTATTTTTTAAATGCGCGAGGCATATTCTAGTATAACATATTTGGTGGTTGTTGCCTATTACCGTGTTAGCGTTGATGAGTTTTGGTATTTGGTCTTTAATTAAACAAAGCAGAGTTGACCCAAAAGATAGCAAATAACAAATTGTGGGTCCAGGTCGGCCCACGTCTCTGATTTGTTTGATTCTGTTTGTCTTACGTTTCACAGCTGAAATATTCTTTGCTTTTTTTGCTTAAAAAAATAAAAAATTTACTCGTCGTTGGTTAGTGAAAGGCGTCGTCGCGCATTTATATATATACATGACAATAATAAACGATTAAACGTATACGAATATCTTCGAACGCCTCCTGTTAAATACCAACGAGTTTCAGAGATAGAAGTAGGAATTTTTCCAGAGGAGTATATGAACTAAAAAGTATTTCCTTAACAATCGTCTTCCTCGTTTTTCTAGGTAATTAAATTCATCATATCATTGGCTTGAGATGCAAGAAATAAATTGTTCTGTTTAATAATCATTTTCCTTGCCCCACTTTTTTTTTTCCGTGAACTTTATGCAGAGAGGGAGCTTTGAAGTGGAGGACTATAAGTGGGACACAGTTAACGTAAACAGATATTTGCGGCCGGTCTACCAAAATCCGGCGATGGAAAACGGTGGGGACGCGGCCGATGTGGTATCGAGCGTGAAGGACAATGCAGAGCAAACGGCGCGGACACGGAGCGGTCTAGTGAAGCGGCTTGCCTCTGTTTCAAATCAGCTCAAGCGCTTGGCATCGGCCTCGGGACAGAGTAAGGCATCTCGGTTGGACCGAGCAAAGTCAACGACCGGTCAGGCCTTGAAAGGGCTCAAGTTCATTAGCAAGGCCGATGGTGGTGCTGGCTGGACCGCTGTGGAAAAAAGGTTTGTTAAGATCACCGCCACTACTGATGGATTGCTGCTTCGGTCCAAATTCGGTGAATGCATAGGTAAATATTGTTTAATCTAGGAATGGAAGCGAAATATTTAAGTTTCGAAATGAGTTGTTTTTAATTAGAAAGGAATATTAATTGAAATTGTAGGGATGAACTCAAAGGAATTTTCCTTGGAATTGTTCGACGCGTTAGCCAGAAGGAGGAGAATGAGAGGGGATGTGATCGACAAGAATCAGTTAAAGGAATTCTGGGAACAAATAAATGATCAAAGCTTCGATTCCAGGCTTAAGACGTTTTTTGACATGTAATTTGTTTTGTTTTCTTACCAATTGGTCTTTACTTTTACAGTTTTACTTTTCTGTATTTCGATAAATTACTTATGGTAATGAATGTTAAGTTGAGCCAAAGAATATGTGCAATGCAGGATGGATAAAGACGCCAATGGAAGACTATCCGAGGACGAAGTTAGAGAGGTAAAAAGTTTTTACATCAATTAAGAGCTAGGTATTAGTGTCTTAAATGGTAATTTTTAGGGTTGGGCATTTTGTTATTATGTTCGGTATGGATTTTTCAGGTTTCGGGTTTCATATCGGGTTTCATATTTTTTTAGTTTCTAGAAATAAAATCCATTGTTCGGTTCATGTTTTTGTTTTCAAGATTTTTTAGTTTGTAGAAAATAGATCAAAATAAATAATTTTTGTTAATATAGTAAATACTTTATACATTTAAAGATATATTGATATAAATTTAATTAAAATTATTAGTGTTCTTAATTATTCTCCGTTAGTTGGGTTAATTTGGTTCTGTTCAGAATCAAGTAATTCGATTTATAAGTTTATATTTTATAGGGTTGTTTTATAATTCAGTTTGGTTTTAGGTTCGGGAGTTTTGGTTTGAATTCAAAAATTTCGGTTCGGTTTGGAAATTTTGTCCACCCCTACTAATTTCTATCTTTACTTGTGAAACAATTCTTTATAAAGGTTAACGTTAATTGTAAATTAATAGAAAGAACAAATTTTCATATTATTTTACTCATATTTTTTGAAAAAATTGTAATCAAAATCGACAAGATGCTAAAAGTTGTAACTTCAATTGAAAAATAGGTGCAATTAACTTGAAAGTTGAAACTAAACGCAACAACACACTCAACGTTTTAATAATCTTTTCTAAAAATATTTAAAAAACGTTTAATTTGTTGAACATTGCTCTGTCTTTGTTAAATTTCGCAGATTATCAATCTCAGTTCGTCTGCTAACAATCTATCAACTATCCAGAAGAGGGCTGATGAGTATGCTGCAATGATAATGGAAGTGCTTGACCCAGATAATATGGGATACATCATGGTAAACTTTCTTTATGATGATATTCAAAATGATATTTTTTCCAGTACATGTGTTATCTGTAACTTGATGATGAATTTAAAAACAGATGGAGAGCCTTAAGACATTACTTCTGCAAGCGGAAACACAATCTATAATCACAAATAGTGAAGAAAGAAAGAAGTTGAGCCACATGATTAGTGAGAGGCTTAAACCTACGTATGACCCTAACCCATTGAAAAGATGGTACCGTGGACTAAGATTTTTCGTGCTGGATAGCTGGCAAAGAATTTGGGTGATAGCGCTATGGCTCACGATTATGGCCATTCTATTCACATACAAGTATATTCAATACAAGAATAGAGCAGTCTATGAAGTTCTAGGGCCTTGTGTATGCTTGGCCAAAGCTTCAGCAGAAACTTTGAAGCTAAACATGGCCTTGATTCTGTTACCTGTATGCAGAAATACCATCACTTGGCTTAGAAATAAGACTAGGCTTGGTGTTTTTGTCCCGTTTGACGACAACCTCAACTTTCATAAGGTAAAATACTAGCTTCAAACATATCTTTTTTTTTAATCAATTCATAGTTTTGTGGTTGGAGATTTGTGTCAAAGATTTAGATCAAAATCACCCACTCTAGTTTCATAGATCATGTTTAGCTTCAACATTCATGTTACACCTTTTAGTACGTTTTTCAAAAATATATGTCCATATAGACCTTTCAAGTGGCAAACACTTTTTTTAGATGTTTCGAAATTAGGTTTAAACTTATGTACAACAACTATCAAATTATAAGAAAAAATGCAAAAAATCATAGTGAATTGACGCTTAAAACCATAGGTTATAGCGGTGGGAATCACGATCGGAGTAGGCATACACTCGGGTACCCACTTGGCATGCGATTTTCCACGGCTAGTCGCTGCAACTCCAGAGGCATACATGCCTCTAGAAAAGTTCTTCGGAGAAGAGCAACCGAAGAATTACATGCATTTTGTGAAGTCAATGGCAGGGATAACGGGACTTGTAATGGTTCTCTTGATGTTTATTGCTTTTACACTAGCTATGCCTTGGTTCAGACGAGGGAAGCTAGAAAAAAAGCTTCCTGGTATACTAAAGAAACTGGCTAGCTTCAATGCCTTCTGGTACACTCACCATTTGTTCGTTGTAGTCTATATTCTCCTTATCGTTCATGGATACTACATATATCTGAGTAAGGAGTGGTACAAGAAAACGGTGAGTACTTCGATGTTTAACATTTTCAATCACAATTTAAGCATTATGAAAATGTAACTAACTCGAAGGTTTTGTCTACAGACGTGGATGTACCTGGCAATACCAGTAGCTCTCTATGCATGCGAGAGATTAATACGAGCATTCAGATCCAGCATTAGAACGGTCAAAGTTGTTAAGGTCGCGGTGTATCCTGGAAATGTATTGACGTTGCACATGTCAAGGCCTAAGAACTTCAAATACAAGAGCGGTCAATACATGTTTGTAAACTGCCCAAAAGTCTCACCATTTGAATGGTACGTAAGAACCACTCTTGGGAGTCAAGAGCCCTAAACACA